TTCTGGTCAGTCGAAGTCGACCTTGGGGGTCCCAATCACTCGTGGAATGAGGAATGTGAGTTCGGGCATGCTTGATGTGTCCCACACTCAGCTGACGGAGTCATCCGAAGTTTACCGAGTTCATTGGCTCCGGGCAAAGGCACTACGGGATCGATGGAAGGAAGAAATGATGTTGGTCCAATTGGAGATGGATTGGACATGTAACTTTTTCTTGTGGAAAGCAACCCAATGGGGTGACAGGATGCGGGAATCATTGGTGAAACACCTTCCGGGTCATGCATGCTACTCGGGAAGGCAATCCCAAATGTATTCATTGCTGGCACAGGATGCCCAGGCAGCATTTCAAGACCTGAAGACCGGGTTTATAGATGCTCAAGATGAATGAAATTTTTTTGCCAACGATATGAAACAGCTACTTGACCCAAACATTTTAGTCCCGGGAATTGGCCGGGTCGACCCATGTCGGAGTTTGAAAATTTTTATCAATCAACCAGTGGCTCATATCTTGACCTCCGAACCAACTGCCATTGTCATTGTCATTTCCAGCTTCATAATCCTGCATTAACCATGTCTGTATTGCATACTCCCCCACATCCCTTCTAATTCTCAGACTTCCGGCAATGGGTTCCAACCCCTCACACTCACTCAGGCAGATATTGCAGCTACAATGTCAATGGCTGCATCTCGCATCCGAGCGTCCATCTCTCAATATCAGATGGAGGCTGCCCACACCCAGGAGCCATCTGCTACTCGGATCATGCACTTTAAAGCCGGGCTGCAATGGGAGATAGCTGTAAGAGGCTGATGACTGTGGTGGTCAATGCTGACATTTCCAACAGACTTTTGTGACTCCCATCCTGCAGTACTCAGCTGCAAGGAACATCATTTCAGTTGTTCCGAGCCCGGTTGCTCATATTCTTCAGTTGATTCCCGAGCTCACCTGGAACATGGTTCCGGACCACATCCTTTTCATCCCACCTATGCCAGTTTCAAGACGTTGCAGATCTGGGGGATCCCTCCCGCATTGTATCCACCTATGGTACTCCATGGTGGACCGGATCAACTGCCATCCCGAACGAATTATGGCCATGGGATCAGGTATTCGCTAATTGTGTCTGTCACTACCAGCATTGGCTAGTAAGACTTTTACAGAATTTCCTTGAGTGATGACTAATCCTTTCTAGTCTGGCGTTGAGGACGAACGTCTTGTTGTTCCCGAGCAGGTGGATGAAAGCTCGCTTGCAACGCTGAAGGCACTGAGGTGGATGAGGGAACGCCTCCTGACAGTGATTGAGGATCAACAAGCTGGCATCCGTGAAAAGATGGCAGAGATTCAGATGTACACCGCCGTCCTAACCAAATTGAACCCAAGGGGACCAGAGTAGTTCTAGTCCTTCAGTTCAGAATGTTGAAGTCTAAATTCTGTACATGATGAAATAAGTACTGAAAATTACATACTGACTTTCGAATATCTGACCTATTGCTATATGCTGAGTCCTGCATACCAAATATCGAGCATCGAGATCCAGATATCTTGAGTTCCAAATATTGAGTCCCAAACATAGAGTCCCGGATATCCAGTCCCGAAGCCCAAGATTCGAGACGAGACTTGAAACTCGAACATTGCTATGAGTTGCGAGTTTTGAGTCCCCACCGAGTCCTGACAATCGAGTCCCACAGCCCGACTATCGAGTCCCAACCATCGAGTCCCAACCATCGAGTCCCGACAATCGAGTCTTGAAACCCGAGTCCTGACAATCGACTCCCGAAGCCCGAGATTTGAGTGCCGACCATCGAGTATCGAGTCCCCAATATCGAGACCCAAAACCCAAGCAGCCCGAAGCCCGAGATTCGACACGAAACAAATCAAAACTCCAAACACCACGACACTTTCTTGAATCACCGAGTACCGAAACCCGAGTACCGGGTACCGAGTCTTGAAACCCGAATCCGCACTATCGAGTCCCAACTACCGAGTCTTGAAACCCGAGTCCCGACAATCGACTCCCGAAGCCCGAGATGTGAGTGCCGACCATCGAGTATCGAGTCCCTATTATCGAGACCCGAAACACGAAGCCCGAAGCCCTGAGATTCGACACTCAAAACATGACACTCATCAATTTTGGGAGTTGTTTTCTTGAATCACCGAGTACCGGGTACCGTGTACCGAAACCCGAAACCCGGTACTCGGTAGTCGGTGAAATCGAATATCGAGTCCCGACTATCAAGACCCGAAACCCGAATGTTGAGTATGGAGTGCCTGACATCTAGTATCATGTATTTGAAGGTGGGTACTAACACGGGTAACTACCTTTCTACTTCTTCCAATCCAACCTTGCCCATCCACACGACGGAATCCCAGCATAAACATGAACAGCATCCCTCATATATACCATGCCCAGGCAATCCGATCCCCTTCCACTGCATGAACCACGTGTCTGACAATCCTTCCCAAAAATGCAATCATGCACCCCGGATCGTACCTTAACTCCAGCTGCAGGCTTGGCATACTCATCCGAGCATTAGAATAATTCCCCACGCTAGTGAGAATATCGAAGCATTCGGAAATCGATGAGGGGTCTCGATGATTCGGGGTTTCCCGATTGCATATGACGGTGAGGCTGTTAAACACCGTTGCCCAGTACTGGAGAGTCTCTGACATCTTCGGCAGTTCCTTGCTTCGTGCCTTTTCTCCGAGGCTCGCAAAGGCTTGCAACCCTGCCCAGTACTGCTCAGGATGCATCACCCTGAGTGCCGCTGTGGCAATGGCTGCTGGCCTCGCAATGGCTTTGAGGATGTTCTCGGAGGATGGTCCCTTCAATGATGCAGATACCTCCGGATCGGACTGATTCTATGGGATTGGTGAGTTTAACTACCGAGATCGCCATCTCATCAGATCCTACCTCGTGCCCCTGCTGAAACCATGCCGGAGATAAATTAACGCATCCGGGAGTTAGGACATCATTTTCCGAGCTTGGTGTGAACCACTGTTGATTAGTCCGCCAAATCCCATCGAGCTTTATGCTTTGTTCGAGCATGGGAGCTAGCAAATCCGAGGCCGCCCAAATTTCATTCTGTACGTACCATTTGATGTTCAATATCCATCCAGTCACAATATATATAACAGACCTGGGTGGCATCGGTCAAGGCGTCTGGGAGGTACCATGCGATGATGGCACCGGATGCATCAAGAATTGTTGCGGGTATGTCGATCAACTTTGTGCCCTCATGGCCAGGAGGACACCTCTCAAGCAACTTTTCCTCTCTCTCTTCATTACGCCCCGTGTCCTTTGGGGAGATCAATTTGCTATATCTTGCAATATCAATCGGCATCTGAACTGTGATGAAGCAATTTGACTGATAAAATGAATTTTCCGAATCTGCAGGAAGACTCACTGGGATTTTTATATGCCTTTATGAGCCGATCAACCAATTGATCACAAGCCATCACCAGATCAGTGTCTAGGTTTGGAGAAGGTATAACTGGGTCTCCTCCTGTCTTCTCTGCATTGAATTTCTGTTCCGTATAATCACATGCCACATGAGTGACAGTCAGGGCCCAAGTGCGCAAGAGGGTTATTTCATCATCGGAAGTGGAAGAAACATCCATGATTGAATTGATCTTGTGAGATCAGAAGCTGAATCCTGAATGTCCGCACTTTGGTGTTAAAGGGGGTGGAGATTGAGAGGATCAGATAAGGGAGCCTTGGATGATCTGAGCTTTCAAAGATCTATTTCTCTTATCATCTATTGCTCAATGAAATACCACATGATTGGAAGTCTGTTGGATGTCAGATACTCGTTTGTCGAGACCCGGGCCTTGGATCTCGGTACACTTCACTCGATTTTGATACCCGGGACACCATAGTTGGAACTTGTCTCGAATCTCGGGTCTCGGGTCTCGGGCATCGGGTCTCGGGTCCTCGGGTCTCGGGTCTCGATGGTCGGGACTCGATATACGGGACTCGTTGGTCGGGACTCGATACTCGATTGTCGGGATTCAATGGTCAGGCGTCGGGTTTCATGACTCAGTAGTCGGGACTCGATAGTCAGGACTCGATGGTTGATTTTCGGGATTCGATAGTTGGGGCTCAGATATTGGTACACTTCACTCAATTTTTGGTGGTCGGAACTTGGCATTTGGCATTTGGTAGGCTTGGATGATGTTGGCTTTCAAAGATCTATTATCATCCATTGCTCAATGAGATACCAGATGATCGGAAGTGTGCTGGACATCACATATTTGTTTGTCGAGACCCGGGTCTTGGAACTCGGTACACTTCGCTCGAGTTTCCACTTCACCCCTTTGCAAAGCTCCGTGCCATACCACATCATTAGATGACTTTGAATAATCACCTCCTTTGATTTGGATGATATACAACTAGCTGAGCTCCATCATGTCTACAATTATCATTCTCCTGGGCCCACCCATCTATCTTATATACCCCCACGTCGGCCTACCCATCTATGCAATATATGTCTCCCGTCGGCCCACCTGTATATAATACATCTTTTACCACTCCCTCGGCCCACCCGTCTACAAAATAATATTAATTCGTCGGCCCACCCGTCTAATATGATATATCTGGGCCCACCTGTCTATGTGATAACAAGCACCCTTGATATACCCGGCTATTTGATACATATCTACCTTGGTACACCCATCTACATAATATCCAACTACCTCGGCCGATCCGTCTATTGAAAATTCATGTCCATCGGCCCACCCATCTACTTTACATATTCCCCACCTGGGCCCACCCGTCTCCATCGGGAATAATAACACTCCCGGCCCATCCGTCACAGTCGAGGATATATCTACCCTCGGCCCATGGTCCGCTGGCCCGTATCATACGGGATATTATGCACGTCCGTCCACTCGTATAATACGGAGATATGTTACTGCAATATGTGACCTTTTGGCAAGCCTTGGCAAAGGTCACCGTGCTGTACTAGCTCTGCCAGATCTGGGTGCTGAGCTAGCTTATTACCCTGGCACTATGGTTTACATTTTAGGAAAGGTGCTGGAGCATGGGGTGCCACAGTGGGGTGACGGGGAGAGAATTGTGATTGCACACTTTGTCAAGGATAAAGTACACGATAGGCTTGGTGTCCTGAGACCAAAGTTTCCAAACCAGCGGGATTTTCTGAATAGAGTGGGGGCAGGTAAGAAGGGGGGTTTAAAAGCCATTCGGAGATCAAATAAGAGGGGACAAGGAGTAGTTTCCCATAAATAGATATCCCGATTAGACAAAGCTTGTGATTTTTAATTGGTTGACTTCTCATATACACTGGAATATTTCCTCGGTCTAAGCACTATGTCCTCAAAAAAACAGGCAGTGTCTCAAGGCTGTTTCTTATTCTTTCCAACATAGAGGAAAGTTATCACAAACAAAGGATCCAGATGTTGACTATGTTACTCACAAACTTACAAGAGACAAGAGGGGAAATCCCTCTTGGGTTGAGACTTGTGCTGATCCGTTGTATCAAACTTTGCCTGAGCCTACTACCAGCCCAAGAAAATGAGTTAAAGCAGTACACACAGAATCGCCAGACATCCAAGAAGAAGATTTAAATTGGGAAATGTTTGGTGACTTTGTTATTGACACAGAGGCTGCTGGGCAAGGGAGAAAAACCAAGGTATGTCTAACAGCCTGTGGCTTACTAGTAATTGTTTCTCATCAATGGCATAGACACAAAATGACTTCATAGCAGAATATCTCACTCATCAACAGGCATATCTAGATGTCATCTTGGACTCAGAGAAATTTGCCACCGCAGGCATCTGTGAGACTTGCCAATGTGAAGAAAGTTCCTTCCATTGCACAACTTGTACTGGTGACCACAGCTGGTGTCGCCCTTGCCTCCTCAAATCACATCAGTCATTGCCTTTTCACAAAATCCAATTTTGGAACAGGAAGTGCTTTGAAGATGACACTCTTTCTGCCCAAGGATTTATATGGTGCATGGGCCACGGTGGAAAGTCTTGCCCTTGCTACGGAGATGGACAAAGTCACCTTGATCAAGATTCTTCTGTGATTATTGTACATTCTTCTGGGGTGTTCACACACAATGTGTCGTGGTGTCGGTGTCCAGGATCACATCATGAACATCACCTGCAGCTGCTCCAAGCTGGACTATTTCCTGCCAGTATCACGCGCCCTAGGACTGCATTCACCTTTGAAGTACTGGATCATTATCTCATTGATGCCTTGGAATGCAAGACTTTGGCAATGAGCTTCTTTGAAAAGATTTGACGGCTGACAAATAATGCTTTCCCGGATGCTGTGCCAGTGAGTAGAACTGACAATACCATAATTCTAGCTCATACTGAATGCAAACTCCCATCTGTAGGATCGATATCGTGAACTCATGAGAGTGTCTCGACTCTGGCATGACTTGAAGAACTGTAAATGGTTTGGATTTGGCCATGATGTGGAAGCACCCCCTAGTGCAGGAGATCTTGCTCTATTTTGCCCTTCTTGTCCGCAGCCAGGAATCAATATGCCTATTGTTTGGGAGCAGAAGTATGAAAGGCAAGTCAATTCCAGCAATGGTTGTCTGCCAGACTCCGGCCAGTACCTACAGTGCATAGCACAGCAGTGATCCTGGCCAGTAATATGTGTCAGCTGAGTCCTGGCCGGTACCTCTTGTATGCAGCCCAGAGTCAGTCACAGCCGGTAATATGTGTTAGCTGAGTCCTGGCCAGTACCTCTTGTACGCAGCACAGAGGCAGTCATGGCTGACTATTTGTCTCTAGTTGTTGGTTCTAGATAACTCTTGGCTGACTTTTTGATTGCAGGTGGCTTTTTATGAGAAGATTTGTGGTAGATGGAGACTTTACTGCTCAGCACATGAACATGCGACAACCTCAGCTTAACATCTTCCTCTCAGATGGTTTAGGTTATATGGTAACAGACACAGATTACCAAGCTCACTTGGCTTCAGCTACGGAGAGTAAAGAGGTGAATCAAGTTGCTTTGCATTGTTAGTGGTGACTGAACCTGTAGAAAGCAATCCTCTTGTAGCAATCATCGGGCAGTCAATGCAGCAAACACAAACAGGAGCAACCTCCGAGCTACAGGGGTCTATGCTACTGCTTGTGCTCAGCATGGATGTTTTGTTCCCCACTGCATAGTGGACTTTCAGAAGGGTGAACAGCAAGTTTTCTTTCATTTACTCAATCTAGGTTAAGACAAGCCTTGGGCTTGACATGCTGACAAAATCACTTCAAGCCACATGAATATAGATTATTCTATTTGCAATGCCATTAAGCATGCTGCTGGCAACATTGACAACTCCCTGATCATCTATGATGTGGGGTGCCAGTGGAGCCTTAACTTCGCTCAACGAGTTGACAACTGCCCTGGCTTGGCACTCCCAGACAACACCGAGATTGTGGCTGCAGTGGGGAAATTTCACTTGAGCGCTCATAAACTTGCCTGTTTTGCTAGATACAGCTTAAACTTCATTCAAGGAGCTGGGCAAGTTGATGGGGAAATTTTGGAGACACTTTGGGCTCCCTTTAACAAGATATCTCCCACGGCATGTTCTATGAGCCAATCCCATCGTCAAGAAATTCTTGATGATCATATGTGTAACTCAAATTGGAAGAAACTTGTCAAAATAGGTAAGTGCCTATATTTGGAAATGAATGACATCACAGTTTCACACTGATGCAGTTAAGACGCTCTTGAGAAAGTACAAACAGGCCAACAAGGGCATTGAAGACACTAGGGTGCCATTTGAAGAGCTCACAGGATCTTTGGATGTCATCAAAGTGAGGGCATGGGAAAAAGATGAGGAGAAGGCAATGGAGGAATGAGGAGACCATCTCAACATCTACCAGCTAAAGATAGATAAAGGTGAGCACTTCGAAGCTTCTATTCAGTTCCATGTGCCGTACATTCTGATTGGGTGATTGGAAGCACCAACAATGGCAGAAAATACGGCTAAAATTAACTGAATCAGAATATGCTGATACAGGGAGGTCAGGATAAATTTCTTGGCTTATTGATGGCATCAATATAGAGGATTCACAGTATGTTGTTTTATCATATATTGATAGTGATGACGTATTTCTAATTGCTATCTAGGGATGCACTCAGAGTAGCTATTCGGCAGCTTCCAAAAGAAGCATCTGCGGTTCAAAGGGCTGCAGTTCAAGTGAAACGACAAAAACTGGCTGCACGTATTTCAAAATTTCATGAAATTGCTGATGCTATGACAGAGGGCATTGAAGTCCATGCAGGTACTGAGCACATGGATGACAGCAGATTTTGCACTACAGATGTGGTAGAGGAAGTACCGGAGGCTGCAGATATTGAAGATGTGTTGGAAGATATTGATGAGGAAGTTCCTGCAGAAGCCATGGGCATTTGGATGCCATCTTCAGTGCCCCGAAATGAGGCTTTAGCCCTGGGCTTGCATGCTCTGCAAGCTGAAGAACTGGAGTTACGAAAGGGTCAAGCAAATGATTGCTTGGAAAAGTTACGGCAGGCTCTTGGTCATAAAGCGATAATTTACTGTCAACATTTCCAAAGCGCAGATTCCACATGGACAGGAACCAGGTCAAAGCAGGAGGCTTTACAATGTCATATCAAAATAGAGAAGTGTGTCCGAAGGTATCAAGGGCAAGGGGTTTGATGCAGAGACTAGGGGCTGATGAAGATACTCTGAGGACGATTTATCAAGACATTCAGCCACACCAGCTCAGTGTGGACAAGGAAGTGACGGAAGAGAACAGATATGGGCAGGGATCAGACAGACTGGCTTGGTTTTGGAGAGTCAACAATGGTCATGATACACAGGAAGATGTGTGGATGGATGAATGTAAGTCATATCTAATATGCCGATTTTCTGCAGTGACAGGTATTAGTCTACAGGGTAAATTAGTTGAAAGCTAAGGCTAGATGGCAAAGGTGGGAGGAGGAGTTGAGATTGGTCCAACACGAAATGGGTTAGACAGTGAGTTGGTTTAAATACAGGATGGGAGAATGGGACCAACGATACCAACAAGCTACAAAGCCTGGTCATCAAGCTTATGCACATCGACAGGTGCTCTTGTAGGGAAGATTTGCATTGGATGCTGAAAATTCATTCAAAGACAAGATGATCATAGTCACTTAACAGTCTTGGCTATTATAATATGTCTAACCTATCGGCCTGCCTGCTTGTACACACCCTGGTCCTGAACTGGCCGGCCCTGCTACAAATGTCTGAAGTGTTGGCCTGCCCTCCTGTACATGTCCTGGACATGCGCCAGCCGGTCCTAGTATCAAAGCCTGAGGTGTCAGCCTGCCTTCCTGTACATAGTCTGGACATGCACTGGCCAGCTCTCTCATCAATAGCATCAGTATGCTTTCCTTATCATTCTTGAGTTGTGTTAGATACTTGGGGTTCTTGACTATGATGCTCATGGTCCTGATCTGGCCAACTCTATTATCAATGTCTGAGGTGTCAGCCTGCCTTCCTGTACATAGTCTGGGCATCCACTGGCCAGCTCTATTGTCAAAGCCTGAGGTGTCGGCCTGCCCCCCTGTACATGGTCTGGACATAAACCAGCTGGCCCTATTGTAAAAGCCTAAGGTGTTGGCCTGCCCTCCTGTACATAACCTGGATATGCACCGGCTGGTTCTATTGTCGGCCTGCCTTCCTGTACATGGTCTGGACATGCAACCGGCCGGCTCTCTCATCAATACCATCAGTACACCTACACTTTCCTTATCATTTTTGAGTTGTTTACATGCATGGGTTCTTGACCATGATCATATAAGACATGAACAGTTAGATATATTTGTACACTTACATTATCTACTGACACTGATCAACTTGCATAAATCAAATATCCTGCTGGAATTGAGTATCTTAGAAGTGCAAGTCATGGAAAGACTTGGCCAAGTATCATACAGTCATTCAACAATGTGTAGGTTTTTCCTGATTCCCTAAGTTGTTGGCCAGCATCAATGTATGTGTACAAGCAGTGGCTGGCCAGTACCACCCCCACACCTCTGGCCAGCACCAATGTACATGCACAAGCAGTGGCCGACCAGTACCACCCCACACCAGCACCAATGTACATGCATGGGCAATAATCAGCCAGTACCCACATGTATAGATAGCTTCACCTGAGTGGTTAGCCAGTACCACTCTCACACCAAGCTGTGGTTGGCCAGTACCCACATGTATAGACAGCATCACCTGAGTGGGTTGGCCCAGTACCACTCGTACACCCTTGGCCGGCACAATGTGCATGTACAGGCCGGTGCTGGTTGGTACACATTCTACAACCATTTGGCACATCCGGGGTACCACTTGTACATAGGGTTATGACTGAAGTATGTGTGGTGCTAGATGCTATGAGGCTCTTACCTTTAGATGGGTAGGCGCATGCAGAGGGTGCGCAGTTGACTGAATTGTGGGCAACGGTGTTCTATGTGAAAAATGCTTATCTGAAATAATACACAGCCAGGCTTGTTCGTGTGAATGAAAAGAACACAAAAAAAAATAAGTCTGTCCGGACGGGAAGACTTCAGGAACGCTGTATTGTCAAACTTGATTACAAGTCAGCCGACAACTTGATTAAAAGGGTACTGGTACTGAAAAGCGGAATAGATTTGTGGTATTGTGTCCGTGTAGCTCATCATCGCTATGAGAATGAAACAATAAGAATATGTCCCTCATCACTCGTATATTCCAATGATGACTTACACAAACTGGTCAACCAGTAATCAACGACTGGCTCCCCATTGCGATAGAGACCATGTTTCTTGTTTTTTTCCAAAATGTTGCCATTATCACTGTTAGAGTCGCGGATTTGCTGCAGGCCTGCTTGTCTGATTTTGCAACTGCGGAGATTCACTGCTCAAGAAAGAACAAGACCTACGGATCAAGTAGTTAGAAGAACACACTTGTAAATGGGAGTATGAGATCTACATAGATGGGCAGAAGAACATCCCTGTCATCTATGTAGATCCCAGACCGAACGGAGAATAACTTGTAGTTCTGGCCCTGTACCTTAGCATAGGCATCCGTAAAAACTAGGAGGATGACCAGAGTCAGTTCAAGAACACGGCAGAATCCCCACCTCAGACCTGTTCACCAGTACCTTTGGATTCATCAGCTTGGAGTTGAGAGTTGACAGGATTGGGGAACGGATATCGAATGACACTCGTTAAAGTTGGTGAGGAAAATTAGAGGAAAGGCTCCCCAACAAGACGAGGGGGGCGGAACAAGCAAGAGCTCTGACATGGTTGTCTTGCCGGGCCTATATGATAGGCTCCTCTCCTTGGCATCAGAAGGCTTAGGGATCTCATCCATGGGAACCTGAGGAGAATCAGACAGTGGTCAGATGTCATAATATGGACAGCCTTTGGGGTGAATATCTATGTTCTTGAAAAAATCGCTGACGGGTCTTGGCGTTCTACAGCTGGAGGTAGTGGTATGCTGGTAGCAGGACTGCTCGAATGAGAAGAGACAGGAGCACAAACTTCCATGGCCATCGAAATGGTGAGCGACCAAGAGTTGCATAGACAATGATATGGGATGGGCAACGCCTGCAAACAAAGTGTGATATTCTCCTTGTCCTGTGGTTTAGGCAATATATTATATATACATTCGGCAATAAGTCAGACCACAAACTTTCGACTTCTGACGGTCGATCTCAATCTACTATGGGTGTCATATCCCGTATTCTGGACCTACGTCCGATGATGTTCCCACGCCTTCCGGACGCCTTCCGGATGCACATCCGGACCTCCATACCCTTATCCATGACTCCATACCCTTATCCATGCCTGCAGTCCTCCAGTCCACTATCGGTTCGGATCCGTACACCTTCGTACATCCATATATCCATACCTTCGGACCTCCGCAGCTAAGCCTGCTTCATCCACCCTTGATCCCATCGGATCCGAGCTCATCCTACCTGAGACTTTACCTTCCCTAGACTACCGGATGATATCCATGATCTATATCCTAGTCTCGTCTTCACCTAGATCTCCGGATCCGCTCATCCGATATCCAGACGCCTCATCCGATATCTCTAGACCTCCGGATCCGACCTA